GTCCATTTCATTGTTTAATCTTATGAAATTTTTTCATGAARTTGTTTAATCTTGTGAAATTGTTTCATATCATATTTTTTTGATGAATTTGTTTCATATATGGTTATGAAATTGTTTCATATAATATTTAATGAAATTTTAATGAAACTGTTTCATGTATTTCTCTAAAATTAAAATAATGAAGATGATAATATCCATGATTAACACCCTCCATAATAAAAATGGTTAATTAACCTCTCATAATTACAAAAAAAATAAACAAAATTAAAAATTATGATTGGTTGAATGTGGTTTTCACGGTTTATACAAATTAAGTGATTTTTATTTGAATGCTCCCATATATATATATGTATATATATATATATGTATATATATATATATATATGTATATATATATATATGTATATATATATATATGTATGTATTTGACGGTCGGTTTGGTCCAAACCGCCCATAAAAGATTCCAAACAACAGACCGGACCGGACCGTCCGGTTTTGCTATTTTTCAAGCCAGTCCAAACCGCCAGACAGCTTAAACCGCCAAAAACGGTCCGGTTTGACTTGGTTCAACCGGTTTGAACAGTTCAACGGTTTTTTGAACACTCCAATTTGACTTAAAGATAGCAAATTGAAAGAAACAAACTAGACCTATAAAACAACAAATTGGACAACAAACTATAAGTATAGTATTACCCTATGCCCAAACAGTAAAATGAAACCAAAATGCTACCTAAAAACAGTAAAACAAAAGACAGCAAATCAACAAGACATGATCAACCTTTTAAGAACAACATAAATAAGATGCAAAACAGACATGCATGGTCAAAACAACAAAATAAAATGCATGAAAGAGACTGCTCAAGGTTAAAACAACAAATGAAAATAAGGAGGTCAAAGAAGCAAAACTAAGGTAGCAACCAACCATTAAAAACAACAAATTTAAAGAAAAACAACAGGCAATCATGTTAAAACAGCAAATGAAATACTCTTTATCAAAAATGACAAAGCAAATTAAAAACTAAGCTAATGGACTCTGTTTTGGCAAACAGAGGTGAAATAACTACTAATCCAAAACAGCAAATCAAAATGAACAATAGAGTCTAAAGCTCAAAACAGCCAAAAGTTCATATGAAGACAACAAAATGAACATCAAATAATACCAAAAGATCAAGTACTACTTAGAAACACAACTAGACTACTAGTAGAAACACAACTAGACTACTAGGACCTACCAATCACTAGTTGGTCTAGTGGTGGCAAGGGCACTTGGCTTCCTAGGAGGTCTAGTGTTCGAATCCCACCCTAGTCAATTAATTGATCGGTACCTCCTTCCGTAAATGCCTTGCCTTGGGCGTGCCCGCAAAGGTCCGATTCCAGGGGAGGACAGGTTGTCTTTTCCGGTGCTTGCTTATGAGGTATGGCAAGTAGGGCTCACAAAATGTGGACCACGGGGCCATGAGGTCCCCGCCAATAAACCTTTTTTTTAGACTACTAGGACCTAAGATACTATTGTTAAAACAGAGGAAAACATCATGGATTTCAAATAGCAAAAACAACCATGCTTCAGGCTTTAAAATAACAGAATTGCAGTCCTTACCGTTTGTCCTCTCCACACATGCCTTGATGTTGGAGCATATCATCCTCCCAACATCAAATGGCCTAGCCTCTAGGATACAGTACAGGATCAAGACTCTCTCTAGGCACAAATTGGTGTCCTGGCTAGTGGGTGAATTGTGTGTCTATGAAATAGAACCATAAATTGGCTTCAGGCTTCAAATATTGAGTTTTTAGAAGCCTAGCCCTCCCCTTGAAACTCCAAACAACCCCTTCCTTGGCTATCCTAGCTAAGATCAAATCAAACTCCTCATCAGAATACCCAGCTGTCAACCTATCTAGCTCAGAGTATGAAGGTGGGATGAGCTCTAGTAGGTCATTTATGGCATTGGGTGAGTATGAAACAGGGGTCTTTCTCACTCTTAATTATACCCCATCAGTGACTGCTACCTCAGTGTAAAACTCCCTAACCCAACTAAGATTGTATTGGTTAGGTGTGTCACACAGAATCTCCCAACCCAAAGAATCTATTGTGGCCTTGATGGGAGGATTGGCCAACAATAATTGTTGTGAAAACCCCTTTTGTACCACCCCTACCTTCTCAGAAAATTGCAAGTATGTTTTTCTTGCTAGGGTGTGCTAAACAAATGCTTGGGCTTTAGAAATATACCCGGCCCTTCCTCAAATTGTTGCTCTGGCCTCTTTCTTCTTCTTGATGCCCTTTCCTCAGCCTCTGATCTCTCACTGTCCTCTTTTTTTTTTGAACTCCTAGTTTCAACTCTGCCCATTCTTCTCTTCCTTGTCACTTTCTTTCTCAAACTTGCACCTGTATCAACCTCTTCCCTTTCTTTCTCAATATGTGGGCTGCTATGCTCAGGGCTATGATGAGAAAAATGTGCACCTTCATAGTAGTCATGAGTCCCAGAGTGTATAGGGCTAGTGGGTTGGTTTGGACTAGGCATGAATGGTTGAGTGGAGTGGGGTGGGGTGGGGTGGGGTGGGGTGAGGGTGGTGGTGTTTGAGTGACATGGGTGTTTTGTGGGTCATAAGGGTCTTCATTATGTTCAAAGGATGTAAGGCTGGGATTAGTGGGTGATAGACCTAAGAAAAAGTCTAGTTCTTGGATGGATACAGTAGGTGGCAAAGGGATAATAGGTTCAGTAGGTGTAGATGGTGTGGTTGTGGGCTGGATTGGTGAAGATATTGGGCTGGTGGTGACTGTTTCAACATGGGCAGTCTTAGAAACTGTTTGGGTAGTGGTTGGATGGTCAAGTATGGTGGGTTCAACAGTGGTAGATGAAATAGGAATAGATGTAAAATGTGGTGAGTCCATGAAATTGAATTCAATGGGTATGTCTCTAGTGATAGTGGGTGCATGGATGGTGGTAACAGGTGGTTGGATAGGGGATGGATCACACTCTGGTTCCTCTCTAATCATCCTATCCATGGCTGCCAAAGCATCACTAACAGAATGCTTAAGGGATGAATTTCCCTTTTTAGGTGCTTGAGCAGCCATAGAAGGCTGAGTTCGGATCATGGCTATAGCAGGGGCACAAGTTGCTGTCCTTATCCCCAAAACGTCATTAGAGGCTGCCATGGCTTCATCTACAGTCTTTCTCAACATAAAACCAACACTGGCTTGAGGGTATACAGGAAAACTAGACAATAGATCCATAGTTAAGGGTCTAGTAATTCTCAAACCTGTTTGGAGCCTCTCTGTGATGGTTGAAGGTATGCTCTGAGTGCTTACTTGAGTAGCTGCATCTGCCATTGCATTCAAAGAGGCTGAATCCTCTTGTGTTGGTCTGCTTGTACTGCCCTGAACACCTTGCATCTTTGATGGTGAATCACTATCATCTGATAAATTGATCATAGTGCCCTTCTTCTGCTTAATGGGCTTGAAATTGGTCAGACCCTTTGCTCTGCTTCTTGTCATTCTAGGGCCAAATTGGTATTGTGGAGGGGGCTGTGGCTCAGACTTCACAATTACAGTAGCTTGAGTTTGAGTGGATGGTTGAGGTCTAGATTTAGCAAAAGGAACCTGCCTCAAGGGAATGGCATCAATGGGTTCCTCCTCACTTTCACTGGACTGACCATTGTTGATCACAAGGGGCATAGAATCAGATCCCCATTCCCTTCTTCTTGCTCGAGTTTTGATAATGGCCATACAAATGGAACAGGGGATTGTTATTGGTTCTTGGAGTAAAGAAGAACAATGGTTGTGAACAGTGGCTAATAGCAAACCCAAATGGTTATTAAACAGTGATTAAAGGGTTATATGGTTGCTAAACTTCTTCTCCAAGATTGTAGCCTCGAAAAAAAGTCAATTTTTTTTCATTGTTCAATGACAGTTATTGAGTGGTAAGTCAGAGATGGTACCTTCCTTAACACTGCCAGTTCGATGAAGTCTTGTCCTTATCGAAAATGGATATTTGATGAGCTATTGCTGACTGTTCTTGGTCTGATTTAGAGAGTACATTGATGGAGGTCTTCGCCTGAGTTAAGAGCTTGGAGATGAAGGGACTGTTACCAGACGTGGCTTGGTACGATTGCGCTGGATTCTTGACAGGCTGTACCAAGCAAACTTCAATGTTGGGCCTTTCCTAAACACATACTTCACTTTGGGCCTTAATCTCGTGGCTCTCATCTTGGGCCTTTTTTTCTCTTGGCCTGTTAACAACAAACACAGTCAGTTTTAGAATTGTTGTGGGCGGCCTTCTTAGTCAAAACCAACGATTGTTGGGCTGTTTGTTTTAAAACAAATGCCGGCCCAAAGATTACTTAAAACAAAATTCAAACCTTTAATTTAACTATAAACCTAATATATTAGATATTATGAAAGAAAAAGATAATTGCTCTAGAAGGAAAAATAAAATTAAAAGCTTACTTAAAAAAAATAAAAATGAAAATCCAAAGTAAAAATAAAAATAAAAATAATAACTTATAGATATATATATATATATACATATAAATACTAAATATTTACAAAGACTTATTACTTTAGAAAGATAATCTCGACAGGTTGCGTAACAATCATGGAATCAAAGAAAGGTTTTACTCTGTCTATTCACTTTGAAAGTGGTACCCCTCTCTGGATCTATCAAGTCAATAACTCCGTAGGGGTATACCTTGGCGACAATAAAGGGTCCGGTCAATCGGGAATTCAACTTTCCCGGAAATAATTTTAATCTTCAATTGAACAACAGGACTCTTTGGCCTTCTATGAACTCTTTTGGAAGAATCTTTTTATCATGCCATTTTTTGGTATTTTCTTTGTATAGCTTAGCATTTTCATAGGAAAAATTCCTATGTTCTTCCAGTTCACAAAGTTGCAAAGTCCTTTTTCTTCCGGTCTCATCTAAACTCATGTTGAGTTCCTTAATGGCCCAAAAGGCTTTGTGCTCTAATTCCACAGGTAAATGACAAGCTTTTTCAAAGACCAATTTATAGGGAGACATACCAATAGGGGTTTTGTAAGCAGTCCGGTAGGCCCATAACACATCATCTAACTTAGAGGCCCAATCCTTTCTATGTGGCTTGACTACCTTGGCCAAAATCCCTTTTATCTCTCTATTTGACAATTCAGCTAATCCGTTGGTCTGAGGATGGTAGGCAGTTGCTACCCTATGCTTGATGTCATACTTATCAAGGACTTCTTCTAACATGTTGTTTATGAAGTGAGTGCCTTCATCACTAATTAAGGCACGAGGTGTACCAAATCTAGTGAATATGTGCTTTTGTAAAAACTTCACCACTGTTTTAGCATCATTGGAATGGCAAGCCATGGCTTCCACCCATTTGGACACATAGTCCACAGCTACTAATATGTAGGTACAATTATTGGACAGAGGAAAAGGTCCCATAAAGTCTATGCTCCAACATCAAATAATTCTATTTCTAGAATTCTGTTTAAAGGCATTTCATGTATTCTAGAGATATTTCCACTCCTCTGACACTCATTGCAACTTTTTACAAAGTTTTGAGCATCATTGTGCAAAGTAGGCCAGTAGAATCCTGATTGTAAAACCTTGGATGCTGTCCTATTTTCTCCAAAATGTCCTCCACAAGGTCTTGCATGACAGTGCTGTAGAACTGATGGTACTTCTTCTTTTAGGATGCATCTTCTAATCACCTGATCTGCACAAATTTTAAACAAGAAAGGGTCATCCCATAAATATTTCTTTTAGTCATAGATGAGCTTCTTTCTTTGATACTTATTAAATTCCTTGGGAATAATCCCACAAGCTAAGTAATTAACAAGATCAACAAACCAAGGAACTGTAGTATGATTAAGAGCCAAAATTATTTCATCTGGAAATACTTCACAGATGTCACTACTTTGCATTGGTTTGTCTTGTTTTTCTAATCTTTGACAAATAGCCGGCCACTTGATTATCCACCCCTTTTCTATCAATGATTTCCAAATCAAACTCTTGCAAAAGCAAGACCCACCTTATCAACATTGGCTTTGCATCTTTTTTAGAAATAAGGTACTTGATGGCAGCATGATCTGTATGAACAATTACTTTGGTTCCCATCAAGTATGATCTTAATTTTTCAAAAGAAAAGACCACAGCTAATAATTCCTATTCAATAGTGGTGTAATTGATTTGAGCATCATTAAGAGTTTTGCTTGCATAATAAACAGGATAAAAAATCTTTTCTTTCTTTTGATCCAACACTGCTCCAACTGCCCAATCACTAGCATCAGTCATTATTTCAAAGGGTTTGGACCAATCAGGTGTTATTACCACATGAGCAGTGACCAATGCTTCTTTTAAAATGTTGAAAGATTTTCTACAATCTTCATTAAAATTGAAAACATGGTCATGCTGTAATAATAAACAAAGAGGTTTTGATATTTTTGAAAAATCTTTAATGAACCTCCTATARAAACCTGCATGTCCTAAAAAACTTCTGATCCCTTTTACAGTTGTTGGTTCAGGCAACTTCTCAATTACCTCTAACTTTGCTTTATCAACTTCAATGCCTCTTTTGGAAATTAAATGCCCTAACACTATGCCTTCATTTACTATAAAGTGACACTTTTCCCAGTTCAAAACCAAATCTGTTTCTTCACATCGTTTAAGACTTTTTTCAAGGTTTTGCAAACACAGGTCATATGATGTCCCATATACTGTAAAATCATCCATGAAAATTTCCATGGAGTGTTCTAACATATCTGAGAAAATWGACATCATACACMTTYRGAAAGTGGCAGGGGCATTACAAAGTCCAAAAGGCATTCTTCTAAAAGCAAAAGTTCCATATGGACATGTGAAAGTAGTCTTTTCCTGATCATCCGKTGCTATGGCAATCTGATTGTAACCGGAGTAGCCATCTAAGAAGCAATAAAACTCTTTTCCTGCTAGTCTGTCTAACATTTGGTCTATGAAGGGTAATGGAAAATGGTCTTTTTGAGTGGCTTTATTAAGCCTTTTATAGTCCATACATATCCTCCAACCAGTTACTGTTCTAGTAGGTATAAGTTCATTCTTCTCATTTGGTAYAACAGTGACTCCTCCCTTTTTGGGTACACATTGCACATGACTGACACAGGTACTACTAGCAATAGGATAAATTATGCCAGCGTCAAGCCATTTTAAAATTTCCTTTTTGACAACCTCCTTCATGAAAGGATTGAGTTTTCTTTGAGGCTCAACGGAGGTGAAACTTTTGTCATCCAAGATAATTTTATGTTGACAAATGGTGGGACTTATCCCCTTGAGGTCAACAATTGTTCATCCTATGGCCTTGGTATGAAGTTTCAACATGTCAACCAACTTTTCTTCTTGGTCAGCTTCTAATGATGATGAAATAATGACTGGCAACTTCCCTGAATCTCCTAAAAGGGCATACTTCAAATGCGAGAGAAGTTGTTTTAACTCTAAATCTGGGGCAACATCTAAGGAWGGAACAAGAATCTTCCTATCCTCAGTTTCTAAAACTTCAAAAGCAGCAAATTCTTGTGGTGTTTTTATTTCCTCAAAATCTTCCTCTTCATCACTATCATTCTTAGATAAACCTAAGATTTCACCCAAACTTTTCTCTTGACACCAGGTCTATATCAGACTCAAAGCATAACACTCTTCTCTTTCTTCCGGGTACCTAAGGGAATTAAAAACAATTAAAAATCACTTGTTGGTCTTGGACTCTCATGGTTAATTCTCCCTTTTGTACATCTATCAAGGTTCTACCAGTAGCTAGGAAAGGTCTCCCTAAAATGATGGGAATGTCCTTGTCGGCTTCAAAGTCTAGAATGATAAAATCAGCTGGGAAAATAAACTTATCAACATGAACTAGGACATCCTCAATCTTTCCTCTGGGATAGGCTATGGACTTGTCAGCTAACTGCAGAGTTACAGTCGTAGGTCTAGCTTCACCTATGCCCAGGGTATTGAAAACAGATAAAGGCATCAGGTTTATATTAGCACCTAAGTCACATAGAGCTTTTCCTATCTCTTTTCCTCTAATTGAACAAGGGATTATAAAACTTCCAGGATCTTTCATCTTAGGAGGAATTTTACTGGACAACAAAGCACTGCAACCTTCAGTCAG